AGCTGGAGTTAGTGGTTGAATAAAGAAAACAGAGATGAACTAAACATGAAATCTAGTTTTGAACAACGAGAGAAACCAGAGAAACGAGTGAAGAGGAGGAACACGGCTCTAAGATCGTTTCCTGTGGAACTCCTCCAACAGTAAATATGTTTCAATCAGAAACAGTGAAACATGATTAATGTTTGAATTTCATTTTTCAAAACACGATTTAACGTCACTCACATGTTTGAAGTTGCGGAAGGGAACAAACTTGACGATGTCGCGCAGGACGGGTTCTCCTTTAGGAGATCGTAGGATCCCGTCGTCGCCGTCCAGCATCTGCATGTCGCTGAAGTCGGCGTTCCCGACCCCAACGATGATGACGGACATGGGGAGGTGCGAGGCCTGGACGATGGCCTCCCTCGTGTCGGCCATGTCGGTGATGACGCCGTCGGTCAGGATCAGCAGGATGAAGTATTGCTGGAGGAGAGAAGTCGGGACGACAAACACTCGGTCACATGACTTCCACAGAAGCGTTGGTGTGGTTCCATTACTGCGCTCACATTGTGTGTGACTGAAGTTTTCAAGCAGCCACAACAATCAAATCCTGTTTATGCAATTAAAAGTTCTGCGTTAGCATTGCTAAGCTAGCATAGCATGTTCTGTGACATGAGTAAATGTAAACAACACACTTTATCTCTTTTGATCTTTGGATCGTAACGTTCAAGACGTTACACTTTAAAATGACAAAACAACTCAAGTGTGTTTTCGAGAAGAGTCGTGGGCGGAGTTAAAGTCAGCTGTTTCCTGGAACAAACTCAAACAAGTTCAGTAAAGTTCAGTTCCTGAAGTTCAGGACATGAACATCTGTCAACGTGTTCCACGATTGAAGAAGGTTCATGATCGATGAAGCCTGTGCTCTCACCATGGCCTCTTTGGTGTGGACTTCCTGTGAGGCGGAGTTGGCGACCTTCTGGATGATGGGGGCGATGTTGGTGGGACCGTACAGCTGCAGTTTGGGGAGGCAGGCCTGGTAGGCCTCAACGACGCCCTGGATACCTGAGCACATATGAGTCAGGAGGTTCATCATCACGGTAACAACACAGATTGATCAACTCCGAGCATCACGTCTTCTCTGCAGCGCCGCGGGTTCGAATCCAGCCTGAGCCCTGTGCGTGTCGTCCACTCTCTACTTTGTCTCATATAACAAATATATCAAACAACAATGAAGCAGAACAAAGAGTTAAAGGATGTGAAGAGACATCAGCTGTTATTCAGTGTCGATGTGATCATCACTAACGACCTCAGGGCTTCTTTAGCTTTTTGTAGTCGGACTGGAACATGAGAATCAGCTGACTGCTCGTCACAGTTTCCTCTTTCCTCTCGCTGGAAACCAGAGCACCTACCTGCACACTCCGGGTTCTCCTCGTTAAAATTCACCGCAAAGTCATGGGAGACCTGGAGGGGAGGGGGAGGGGGGAGAGAGAGAGACAGGAAGTCTGTTTGATCTCTGTGATAAAAAAGAAAAGAACCTGAAGAAATAATGAACTCTCTCTCTTCACCTTCATCCCTCTTTATCCTTTTTTCATTTTCTATTACTCACCCCCCCACCTACAGCTCTACACCAATCCTGAGTCAGTGTCAGCTGTCAATCATGACGTCTCCGCCTGTTTTTATATCATCAATAACTAATTAAACCAAACTGATGAGAAACACTTGAACAAACATCAGAGAGAAGAACGAGCTGAACGACAGAAACATCTTTAACTTTTATTTAACGTCTACTTTGACTTTTAGTTTGTCTCATGTTCCGTCTGCTAACATGGAGGAGGAGGGCTTTATGAGTTATACTGCAGCCAGACACCAGGGGGCAATAGAGATGATCTGGCTTCACTTTTGGGAGCTGTCACGTCTTCCATCTTTATTTATGACCAATGGAAACTTGAGTTGCCGAACAGCGACGTCGCTGCTGGAAACTTCCAGGAAGAAGCCGGAGTGATGAGACGAAGACGTTGTTAAATATTCTCCATGAAAGTGTCTCCAGCTGATGTGAACGTCAGTGACTCAGCAGGAAACTTCAATAAAAACAGTTGAGACACAAAGTTTCCTCTGATAACATCGTCCGATCATTTATTAAAACCTCATCAACTATAGAGTGAAACTGAGTTCATGAGTTTATGAATCATCTTTTCATTAATAACGACTGTTTCAGTCTGAGGATGAATCATCGGCCGACTTTAACGATGACGACGAATATTCACACAAATTAACCCTAACCTTAGAATGTAGTGACCTCTAGTGGTGAAATGTCATGTTGCGGCTTAAAGT